TGTATTGCAGGTTGTTCATTAAGACATGATTTATTTATGAGATACTTCTTTCTATATCATGTCTATTGTAGTTATTTTCTTTCTTTTGCCTGTTTTGTACCTACACTTTATTTTGATTCCACTAGAGGATATTGCTATGATTGGTAAAACTTGTTGTTGCACAATGTGGGTGCATGGTAGGTTTAACATCTCTGGGTTAATCTTGGACTGTAGCTATGTATGAAAACAGGGATGTTACAGAATCATAGTAACAACCTCGCTCAGCTTCAACTTCTCCTTCCCCACCGAGTTGCTAATTACGGTCACGCAACCTACCTAATTATCCGGTAACTATGACAGAATTAATAGGGTCTGCACTTCATCATCAAACGTGATGTCAACGGAGATAAATTGATCAACGATCATGTTGAACTCGCTAAGATGCAACGTGAATGAATATCCTTATGTCATTTTGAGGTTAAAGAGCGTTTTGATGAGATGCACCTTGTTTGCGGTTGACGGTTGCTCGTACATCTTCGCGAGCACTTCCATAAGTCTCACCGTCATATTCTCCTTCAATATATTGTGGGTGACCGATTTGGCGAGCAACAACCCGATCTGCCCTAGAGCCTTCTAATCTAGTATCTCCTAGTCCTCGTTTGATTCCTCCTTCTTCTTTCCCTTATCTTTACCCATAAATGAACGGTAAATATCCTTCTGGTACGGATAGTCCTCCATCTGTGACATCCAGTAGGCGAAGTCCGATCCGTCAAACTTCTCGATCTTTGATATACTTTCTTCTGCCATCTCTTTCAAAACACAAACTTTTGTCGAACGAAGCTCTGATACCATTTATTGGGGTTGAACACACGACAATCCGTATCCTTCCAGATCTAATGTCGAGAGTAAGCAAGCAAGAACTCACATCAAATAAAAGAAAAACTTGCAGGAAAGAACAACTAAAACAGGAGAACACCATTTAACGAGGTTCGGAAAACATGCCTATGTCCTCAGGAGACACACCAGAAAGTTTTGATTAATTGAAGAAGGTTACAATGCTTACAAAAAGGCTTTTCATTCTTTGAGATTTCTCTCTCAAAGTCCTCTCAAAAACCTTCTTTTTTGTAAGTAATATAATTCCTAAAACATTCAAGGTATATATATAAACCTAGCTCAAAACAAATTCCTAAACAAACTGGGAATCTAAATCTCGTCATCAGTCGACCGGTGCATTGGCATCAGTTGACCGGCCAGAGACCTGTTTTCTACAAGGTTTCTGGTGCACCTTTCGATCGACCGGTGCCCTTGCATTGGTCGACCGGCCAGAGCGTGTTTCTAGGCTTGGTTTCCTACAGGCGTTTCGGTCGACCGACATACGTCCGTCGGTCAACCGATGCTGGATTTTTCGGCTTCCTTGCTGATTTTGATTCAAGTTTCAGTCTTCACGCTTCCAAAACCAACAACAAACAATAAAGTTGTACATATTAATATGCGCTATGTCCCTTCATCCTAAGATCTGTATAAAAAGTAAGTGAAGATAAAGCTTCAAATTGTTAGTCCAGTAGGTTACATGGCAAAACTATGTTGTTCCTCCGTGGGGCAGCCTGAGTTTAGTTTCTATGTGCGCCAAATACGTAGCAATTGTGATTGTTGGAGTTGTTTACATTCATAATTACGAGTGGCTCTTAATGTTCTCCCATCTCTTTTCATATGTTAAGTTTTAGCTCCAAAGTTTATGTTGATCTATGATTTGGTGGGATTCCTTGATTATCATATAATTTATTTAATTATGTTTCTCTGAATCATTTCAACATTAATTTTCTACATAATTAATTACTCGTAGGAGCGCCATGCATGTCATTATTATTGTATAACTGGATAATTTTCATAATCCATTTCCTTATCAAAGAAAGAAGATATTTTCAATAAAATCTTTTCATGAAACGCATCTTCATGTTAAATCGATGTTCAGTTACAAATGCATGAAAATGTTTACAACATGGAGTTCTAATACTGCGTCAAAAATTAATGATGATACTGATCGATATAAGAAAGAAATGTCTTGCGTTATGAAATCCAATATTTTGGTATGAACGATCAATCATGACTTTGATAAACAAACTGATCATGAAAACGTTTAGACCATGGATTTCCCAATTTGAAATATGAATTCAATTACAACAATTAACTCTTAACTCTAGGACCCATGAAATCTAGACTATGATTAGGTTTCTAGTAACTAGAACATCAAGAGAAGATCATAATACGATCATCGTGTACATTGAAGATAATTGAACGTTACACAATTATACTGTATCAGTTGGAATATTGACAAAGCATTACTCTGAAAAAACTGAGAATCTAATGAACTTGCTAAAAATATATAGGTCATTAACGTACCACTAATTAGTTATGGCAAATCATGCTCTTTCTGCTCCAGAATACAAGAGTTTCTCGCGTTGAAATTATATAAAAAAAGGGGCAATTATAAGAAAAAAGAAAACTTTATTTAATTGAAAATATTAATATTATCTATATAATATTAATATTTTCAATTAAATAAAGTTTTTAATTAAATAAAAAATGAATAAAAAAACAATTTTGTTGGCAATTATTTTTTTTCATTTTTTTATGCAAATCCAAAAATTCCTCTTTTTTATACATAGGTCGTCGATTCAACATTGGATAATAAAGGGCAAGGTGCCCTTTATTTATTTTAGTAAATGGTTCATATTATTTTATTGATGTGAGTGTTATATATTGGAAAAATTACCAATTATTTTTTTGAAAGCATTTCAGTTTTAATGTAGTGGTAGAAAGAGTAACATATTGTGCCCGAACTTCAAACAGTTTAGCTTTAACCATGTTAATGGTCTCACATTATTGGTTGGGTTGATAGAGAATCAAAGTTGACTTACCAATGAATACTGAAATGCGTTCTTACATATGATTTATGAATTTACTTAGTAGGAATTCATTGAGATTGTGAACAAACAAATACGTTTTTTTATTCAGAAGTACCGAAAGTACTCTACTTTTTTTACTTCAGCAACTTTTTGACTATTTCCATCCAATTTGTTTGCAAATAGCAATAAAGTAGGTGAAGTAAAAAAATAGAGGCTAATTCTACTACTTTGAAATAAAAAGACTTATTTGTTTTTCTAAAAAACTATTTTAATTGCTTCCTTAAATGCTGACGTAAAACCTAGGTGACACCTCTACTTCAAAAAAAGTTTTCCGGCTCCTCAAATCCCCAAAACAGTTCATGGGAAAAAAACATGTGCGGGCCCGGGCCATGTAGATTTGGTTCTTGTGAAAATATGGATTTTAAAAGACAATCAGTATCAAGTCTATTTCTTATGCGGACGCATAGACATAAATTTATAGTGTATAATGAACTCCTCTAGGAAACAATAATTCAATTTTCTCTTAATTAATGCATAATGAAACACTAAGTTCTAAGGAGTGTTTGAGAAAAATGCCCTTCAATCATTTGTCTTGTTATATAGAATGAATATGATTGAGATAATCTTGAAATAAAAAGGTTTTTTGCCGTGGGCATATTCATCCTTGTGTTCATCATTAAGTTTACCTTTTTGTTGATAAAAATAATTATTAAAATGCTAACGGTGATGAGAAGGAGAGGCAATCTTACCGTGGTGTACATATCAATGTTTGTTAATATATTTTTAATTGCTATATTAGTTTTCTAATGTTTTTTTAATTGTTATTCAGACAAAAATAAGTGAATGAAGAGAAAGAAATATCATTTCTATTACTTTCAAAAAATAGTTGAAACAAAAAAAATATTATTTCCACTACTTTCTACTCTATAATTTTAGAAGTTATTTTATTGATCTACTTCCTACTTTTACATTCTGCTTGGGGGTTCACTAGGGTAAGGAAAGAAAAGATAGGGCAAATATAATATCTTGTTTGTGAGTTTAAGAATGGAGAGAGACTTAGTTCATCATATTTAGTATTTCTAACTAAGGGAAGGGAAGGAGAAAAAATAGTTTCATAATCAAATATGAGCCGTTGATCCATAGTGATAAAGAGTCAAATATTAGATCTTTTAAATTTACTTTCTCTGCCCTCTAACATTTTTTATTAAAATTTTACTTTCTCTACCCTCCATTGTCTTTCTTTAAAAAACCCCAAGCGAAGTTAAGTGTTATGTTTCCTTCCTTTACCCAGGCTCGGCCCTGGGGTAAGCCCACCAAGCCCCAGGGCTGGGGTAACCCAGGGCCAGAGGGCAACTAAATATTTTATATATAATGTAGGGTTATAATTTATAAAAATAAAATCCCAAGTTTTAACATGATGCGGATTTGGTATTGTGGTTGAAGGATTTGTCTGTTGTGTAAACCGTCCATGTTCGAGTCTTAGAGGGCACATTTCGTCAGTTTTTTTTTTCATACACGTGCATATGTATGATGACTTAATTGAAGAATTCGCTTTAATAAATTTAAGGAGAAATATTTTTCTTTGAATTAAATTGTAGCACAAATGTAATCTTTTTTATATGAATATTGATTTTCCAAGAGAATATTATCAGTTTGAGCCTAATATAGAACGCTAAATGGTATTATATGTATTCATTTTCATCGTAATTGATCGTACCAAATTTTTAATATAAAGGGCAACCAAAATTGATTTAGGCTAAGGCAACCCAAACCTCGTGGCAGGTCCGGCTTTTACCGTTGGCTAGCGCTTATCCAAACACATTGTTAATACTTCTTGTCATCTCAACGTGCGCTAAATGATGTATGATAATTTCATATTAATAAACGCATTCCTACTCATACCTTACCCAGAATCCAACTATTCACACTCCCAAACAGTAACTTTGGGGTGTGTGAGGACTAAATTGTCCTTCTCCCAAACCAAACCAGGCCAAGTCCAAAAGGGCATTTTCGGCAATTCAACTCCCAAAGTTACTGTTTGAGAGTGGATATAGCAAACATGACCTTACCCATTAGAATAATCGTGTACTTGAGTGTAACGGTTTTAATTTTCCGTGTAGCTTTTCTCCTGCTCCTCTCCAGTTTGGATCTCTTATATTTCCCTTATATTTCTATATGAAAATAACTCCAGAAATCCCCATCAAATTCATCATTAATCCCTATAATTCCTATGGAATCTATAAAAAAACTCCATGCCCACCTCATAATCACAGGATTATCCAAATACCCACATCACGTTTCCAAAGTTTTCACCTCCTATGCTCTAACCCCAGCTTACATAGCCCATGCCTACCAACTGTTTGATCAAATTCCACAACCAAATTCCTTCTTTTGGAATATAATGATCAGAGGCTTCTCACAGAGCAACAGACCTAAAGAAGCAGTCCTTCTCTATAATCGGATGCGATTACAATGTCCCAAACAAGATAATCTCACCTTCCCCTTTGTACTAAAGGCTTGCTCCGAAGTCATTGACATTAGAGAAGGGAGGAGAGTGCATTGCCATTCTCTGAAGACTGGGTTTGTTTTTGATGTGTTTGTGTCAAATGCATTGATCCATTTGTACTCTTCTTGTGGAGAGTTGAACAATGCAAGATTGATTTTCGATGAAATGCCGGTAAGAGATTTAGTTACTTGGAACTCTTTGATTTGTGGGTATGGACAACATAACTATTTGGTAGATGTCTTGGTGCTATTTGAAATGATGAATGCAGAGGGCGTGAAGGCCGATAAGGTGACTATGGTTAAGGTTCTCTCCGCGTGCACTCGTTTAGGAGAATGGGACTTGGCGAAAGCGATGATCAAGCGTATTGAGGAGAATCGCATTGAAATTGATGCTTATCTCGGAAATACTTTGATAGATTACTACGGTCGAAGGGGAGCCTTGGGGTCAGCTGAAAAGGTATTGAGGGAGATGAAAGAGAAGAATATAGTGACCATGAATGCTATGATTACTACATACTCTAAAGCAGGAGACTTGGCTTCTGCAAGAGATGTATTTAATGGCATACGAGACAAGGATTTGATCTCTTGGAGTTCTATAATAGCCGGGTATGCTCAAGCTAACAAATTCTCTGATGCTTTGGCACTCTTCAAGAAAATGCAATCGACAAATATAAAGCCAGATGAAATTGTTCTAGTTAGTGTTCTTTCAGCCTGTGCTCATTTAGGCAAACTCAATCTAGGGAGATGGATTCATCTGTACATAGTAAGAAATAATATAAAGGCTGATATCCATGTTGGGAATTCTCTGATTGATATGTACTCGAAGTGCGGATGCATAATGGAGGCATTTGAAATTTTTGGTAAGATGAAAGAGAGGGACATATTGACATGGAATTCGATCATATTTGGATTAGCAACACATGGATTTGTGGAAAGTGCATTAAAGGTTTTCTCTGATATGTTGAGTGAGGACTTTGAGCCTAATGTCGTGACTTTCCTTGGCGTCCTGATTGCTTGCACTCACAGAGGATTGGTCGATAAGGGTCTCAGGTACTTCGAGAGCATGAGAGAAGTTTACGGAGTGGAACCAGAGATGAAACATTATGGATGTGTTGTTGATCTCTTGAGTCGAAGTGGAGAGTTGGACAGGGCTTTTGAGTTCATTGAGGAGATGCCCATGATGCCGGATCCTATAATTTGGAGGACATTGTTGGGGGCGTGCAAGTTACATGGTAACGTGGAATTAGCTGAGACTGTGACGATCAAACTAGTCGAGGTAGATCGTGAGAATAGCGGGAACTATGTGCTTCTGTCTAATACATATGCTAGTGTGAATAGATGGAATGATGTAATGAAGGTGAGAGAGATTATGAATGAAACTAACGCAGAGAAGTTGCCTGGTTGCAGTTTGATCGAAGAAAGTAATTTGGAAGATGACTTCATAGCTTTTTGAAAGCCATTAGTCCAAATTTAATGGCAAAGCATTGCAAATGTGAACTTTCAGTAGCTCCATCAGATTAAAGTTTTGACTTGTTACAGCTAAGGACAACAGGGAGAAGAAGGAAACTAGAAATGTTTATGAAGAAATGTGCCTTGATGCAGCAATGGAGGTGAATCAGATGAGAGCACGTTTTAACTATCTGACACATAAATCTAATTTATCTTTCAATCTTTGATAAATGGCACCACTTCATTCTTCTGACTCTTGAATCTAGGAGAAGTCAAAGACCTTCTAACACTGCATTCGTAATGACAATTCCTTCAATCTTCGGAAATCTTGAACGTCTCATACTGTAGTATTTTGTCATAATTAGGAGATCAGAGTATATATGCAAATGGTATGGCATGGATCTATCTCATTACTCCTGGCAAATTTGTGACGCTGAAAAGAAATCTTGGAAGATGTTCTGCAGATATCTTGATCGTGGCGAAAGCTGCTCAGCCCAGAGCCTACCACTTTCTCCTGAAAAGCAAGCGCCTTCTGTATGAGAAGCTCAGGCTACATCGAGACGAAAAGACGGAGCGATATTTATCATTTAGTTAGTAAATCTCTACTCCATCTGTAGATGTACGTATACGAAAGATCAAACACCATAAGTTCGTATACCTTCTTATCCCGCTTCTCGATGTTTTTCGTGTTTTGCTTTGATCGATGTTTTTTATTCTTTACTGTAACAGCTAGCTGTTTCATATTTAATTGGAAGAGGTGATATTATTTGGAATATTCTCTCATTTGTAGTGTTTCCTCGTTAATTTGTTACCAAGATTTTAGCATTTTATATGAAAAAGCTACGACTTGAGTTAGATATTAGGAAGAAGTATTAAATGTCCTTCTGAGTATGTGTATCAAGTTATGTGTATCTAAGCTATGTGCATCTACGTCAAATATTAGTATCAAGATATGGGCATGACGCATATAGTTTTCACCCCATATGAAAGCTAGATAGAACCAGGCTAAGTTTGAATGATCATTCAATTCGGACACTGTCACTTAATTCATTCATCTACATCTATATCTATGCCACTTATAAAAGTGAAGACTCATATCAAAACAATTGATCTCCTTTTTCACCCTCTCAATTTTTTATAACTCACAACTATACCATTACTAGTTCTTGTGCACGCGCAACGCACGTGGTTAAATATCAAAATATATATATTTTTGTTAATTTTCTTACTATAAAATAAGTCAGATTCATTTTGAGTTAAAATTCATTGTAACCATATGTAATTCAATGTATTATTTTACCTTATAAATATTACTAACATTAGAGATTAATGTTTCTAAATTATAATCAATCGATGCTAAGCTATTATATTATAATCTTTTATCATTTTTATGGATTTAAACATCTATCAATTAAATGTTAGTAATGTATTTTTGCTGCTCTAATTTATAAGTAAAATTATATGCAATTATTTTGATTTATATGATGACAATAATTTTAAAGCTATCATATATTTTTTAAATTTCTATTCCTTAACCGAAGATTTTTAATCAATTCTTACTTTTGTTTACCAGCATCAATTTAGACTACCTTTAGATGCTGAAAAGGGAAATAAACTCTAAATTGGAAATTATATATACACTGTAAAACCTCGTAAATTTGAATATATTATGATAAATAATAATAAATATGTTATATGGTGATAAATAACATATATTGATGTCATTCGAAACCGTTAAAATTAATATGAGTGGATGAATGGTCAAACGACGACGGGTTCACCCCAAACTTGGTGTGTTAGGGGTTTAGAATATGTAGATCAAGTTCAACGGAGAGGATTATCCACAATGTAACTCAATCATGTGATTTTAGATCATGTCCTTAGATGATTATCTAAGGCGTCACCTTAGGAACACTTCTCCATATATATATATATGAGTGAAATCATGCACGATATGCACGAGTCTGAACCTAAAAAAATCAACTAGTTAAGAATATTTATGTTTTACATATAGATACAGCTTGAATCTGGAAAAACTCAAAAGGTAAAGGTTGTATGTATCTTCAGTGGCTTTCCAACAAATCTTAAATCACCTCATTCTAAGGTCATATGAGAAAGTTACAGCTAAAATACCGAAGGTTATTTTTCCAGTCAGACTAGGTTTCCTGGTTCGAGTCAAACGTGTTTGTTTCGGGTTTGCCTATATAAATACCTATGTTTTTCATAAAAATTCTTCTCTTTTATCATAACTCTAAACCCTAGCAGCCATCCTCTCCTCTAAAAAATCCTAAATCAATTTCTTGTGATTTTTTTGAATTTTATGAAGCAAAATACTGACACGAGGGCAAGATCATCGACGTATGGCAAGGGAGAACGAGTTGTTTACATTTTTGGATTGCTTGTTGTTCATTTCAGAGGCTTGCACCCGAGATTAAGGCAAGATCATCTGCATCCAAATCTTACCCATAGTTTATAAACATGTTTTTATGAAGTAATATGACAAATATGATGCTTAGAACTTAATTTAATGTGAAAAAGATTAGATTTTTGATATTAAACTGTAAGCAAATATTAGATCTACATGGTTTTCTTGATGTTTATATTAGAAACATGATCATGATCATTAGGATAAATGTTAATTTCATTTTTAATTTATTAATTAAGTTTAACACATGTACAAGCCCTAGTTTGTTAATTAATCGAGTTTTCTTGTAAATTAATCATGCTTAAACCCTAGGTTGTGAGATCATAATAACATGAACGTGTTCTAAACAAGCTTATCTCTGTTCAATGTTAGTTATAACATTGTCCAAGTTAATTATGTGATAATCATGCTTTTATGTGAGAATTTGAATAATTATGAAGTTAAACCCTAATTAGTATTTAATAAAAAAATTAAATCATGTGAATTAATCTCTGATAGAGAATTTTAGAAGACTAAGACCTTTTTCCTTTGTTCCGTGTGATTTGAATGAGTTTTGTTAAAGAAATAATCACAAAAACATCAAAACCTGAGAAACAGAAATCTGTTTAACACAGAGTAGTCGACTAATAACATGTGTAGTCGACTACTCCTTTCATGGTGCGACTCACATAATTGTTTTCCATAGCAGTGTAGTCGATTAATGTTCATATTAGTCGACCACTCACACTTAGACCAATTTTCCAGATTCTGGATAGGCTTACAGCAGTCAACTAATAAGCGTAGTAATCGACTACTAAGGTTATTTTCTGAGTTTTTGTTTTGTATCTGTTTGAGATGTGTTCACGGGGTTCGAGCCGCACTCCTTTACATGTAAATTCACGAATACACAAGTACAATGTTGTTTTCACACACATGAGTTTTCCCAGATGGGATTAAGTCAAGTATTAGGTTGTTTATTGTTCATACACTCGTTGGATATCGTTGATGAGCATAGCTCAGTACTATATAGGATAGTGTGCCGATATACCAGATTTACGTAGTTTATATATAAAATGGATATCGTTTATGAGTTCAGTTCAGTACTACGTGGGGTAGTGTGTCGATATTCTATTTGTATAGGCCATTGAGTCTGGTTTGGATACTTTGTCTAGGAGTCCATCCGCACGAGAGTGCGATGAGGCTTGTGAGCCACCTTTTTAGATACCTATATGGTAGGCCGTTCCGTACTTATGTTACGCACTGAGACCGTGATGAGACTAATGAGTTGTGTACACTGTTTAGGATAACTACATGGTAGTCCGTTGCACATGATGATGCTAAGTTTCAAAATATTACAAAGAGTTGCACTGAGGTAGCTAATTGATAGCTTGAGTCTTTGGTTGATAATCACATTTTATTACAATTTTATACTATCATTATCTATTTTATATGAATAAATATACCACTAATAATTGCTTTTATCTTTAATTATAGGTTAATGAAGAATAAATCCTAAAAATCCTATCTCTCAACAAAGGCCCTTGAGTAAATGAAGAAATAAGAGAAATTCAAGAAGCCAAAGTAAAATATTTAAATTTTAAAAGGCCCAAAGCCCATAAAAAAATGATTACACCAAAGATTTGGAATGGACTTGGATGCAAAGAGTTGGAATGAATTGGACTTGGAAGCCAAGCAAACAAGACAAGATTACATGATTGGAAACAAGACCGGATGCAAACAAGATTGGGTTTTTATGCAAAGTTGGAATGATTGGTTTTTTTTTTTGCAAAGATTACATGATGATCGGATTTGTTGGATCATGGCTGGACTTGATTTGTTGCATAGGGGAGTTTTGGATTAGCTGCAAATATCAAGTGGGCCGGCTCATATCTTGAAAATCAAATGGGAAATTCCATTGTGGGCTTGCTGTGCTGCATTTCAAAAATGAATGGGTCGGTTTTCTTTCTTTGCAGATTTTGATTTTAATCAAATGGATGTGGACCTTGCTAAAGCTTTCTTTTGAAAATCAAGGACCGGACATGGGCCAGGAGACTTGGATTTTCTTTTGATTTTCAAAATCAAATTGGGCCGGAGATTCTTGACTTAGGCTGAAATAAATCAATGACCAGCGGAATGATTTGCTGCAGCTTTGAATCACAAGCATTTGGGCCGAAATTCAAATGTGGACTGGACTTCTTTTGCAACTTGGATTTTCATTTATTTTGAAAATCAATTGGGACTCCTATGTTGGGCTAGAGAAGAACAAAAAGCAAATTCAATGGTGGATATTGCTTTGCTTGGGGCTTAAGACAAATCCAATGGCTCATATTCATTGAAGATTACTATAAATAGGGGTAGAGAGTGAGGGGTTAAGGGGGTGAAAAATTTTGTAACTCCTTTTGGAGAGGAGGGCTACTCTTAATTGAGAAGACCTTCCAAAAATTGTAACTTTAGTTGCAATTAATAAAAATAATTTTTTCCTCTTTAAATTTGTTCTTTCTCCTCTTGTTGAATGATGAGGATGGAGATGAAGAGCAATTTGAAGGTTTGCATTTCTTTTCTCTTTTATTTCTTTTTAGTAATTTCTTTATTATTGCTTATTAGTTAGATTTAAATTCATGCTTGTAGTATAGATTTACTTTCTTGTCTTTTTTATTTTCTTTTTGCACTTTAATTTGTAGAGTAGATTTATTTTTCTTGCATTTAATTTCTGCAATTTATTTTGTAGTTTAGATTTTTATTTTCTTTGTAATTAGATTTATTTCTTGTTCATAGTTTAGATTTTTCTTTTCTTTTTAATTTTGTAATTAGTCTTCTTTTTCTTGTTTTTATTTCTTAAGATGTGAATTTAATTCTTGTAGGAATCTTAGAATTGTATGAAACTAGTCTAATTTCTTTTATATTGTATGAATTATTCTCTTGTACTTAAAATGTTCATGTTAGGATAATCAACTAGAGAACTAATCGGTAGAAGAAGAATTTGATAATCTATGCTTATCTTAAATGGTTTGATAGGTTATGCTTATGAATTCTAGGATTATTATCATGTTGTTGTTCTTATCATGAATAGTAATTTTGACTTAGATGATAATTTGATAGGTTACACTTTCCTTAAATGGTTTGATAATCTATGCTTAATAAATCTAAGTTGAAATATGATAAAAAGAGAATAGTTTATATTTTGTAATTGAAATTGGTTAGTGGATTATATTCTAGATTTCTTACCTCTTTTGAATCCTCCATCTTGACTTTCTTAAATTTTCTTTTCATTCTTGGTTTTATTTCTTGATTTTATTCATTCATCTTTCTTGCCTTGTGATTTTATTTATTCTTTAATTCTTCCTTCTCT